TGAGCCTTCCCATCTGTAAAATGGCTCCGTTGACCTTCCTTTGAAGCCAACTCTGCAGGCCATCTCTGGGCCAGCCCATAGCTGCTTACCTGGGACCCCCCCAGTGCCGGGCACACCTGGGAGGACGCCTGCGGCCCCGGGCACACCTGGGAGGACACCTGCGGCCCCGGGCACACCTGGGAGGACGCCTGCAGCCCCAGGCACCAGCCTGCCCAGGACCCCTGCTCCTCCAGCACCTGGGGGAGGAAGACCATTCTAGCTCTGCCTGGGCCAGGGGAGCAGCGCTCTGGTTTGGGGTGGGTGGTCAGTGGGCGGCTGCCCGAGATGTTCAGTGTGGCTGAGGGTGCTGGGGCTGGGGACTCCTTAACCAGGCCCCCACCCCCACCCCGCCGGACACCTGGGTGGTCATTCTCTTTCCAGAATAGCCCTGAGCCTGGAGCCTGGGCTCCGTAGGGAGCGTGGCGGGGGAGGCACCCCTCTGAGTGGCTGGAGACTCACCATACTTGGCGGCTTTTGCAGCAGCGGCTGCCTGGGCTGCAGCTACAAGAAAACGGGGGGCGGGGGGCAGGGGGGCCCTCAGAATCTAGGCTGGAGAGGGCTGCGAACATGGCAGCTCCTCCCTGTGGTGGCCCCCCAGCTCCTCTGGACCCCTGGCCTCAGCCCTTCCAGCCCAGGCTGTTCCCCTGGGCCCCTCAGAGCCACAGGGAAGGGAAGAGGGAGGGAGGGACTCACGGGTCAGGCCAGCACCAGGAACACCTCCTGCCCCAGCTCCGACACCATAGCCAGGGAAGCCCCCAGCACCAACCCCGTAAGTGGGGATGCCAACGCCGACGCCAGCTCTGGCCCCTGCAGGGAAGAGACACGGGGGAATAGGGCCTCAGTGGGTTGTGCTGGGGGAGAGGATGTGAACCCCCCCAGTCCGGTCCTCAGAGGGCAGGCCATCCTGGAACCCTCGGCCCCCAGCAGCTCCCTCCACAGACCTTCCTGAGACGCCCCCAGGCCTTCCAGCCCCTCTGGGCTCTGAGCATTTTGTTGGATGTGGAGAGACTAGGGGTGGGGTCCTCTGAGGGCTCCTGGCCCTCCCATCGCTCAGCCCCAAGGTGAGAGACAACTGAGGAGACATTGTCCTAGCCGGGCCGAGCCCCAGCTCTGCCAGTGACTTGCCACGCGGCCCTGTCTCCGGAGGGTGTCATAAGTGAGGGCTCATCGGGCCAATCTGCCGCCCAAGACCTCTTTCCAGTGCTGGGAAAGCAAAGGTGTCCCTTGGAGGATGGAGGTGTGCCAGCCATGGCATTTGCAGTCACCTTGCATGCATGGGCAAGGAATAAAGAAGACCGGGGGAGAATGGGTGCCCGTGACGTATGGTGTTGGCAAAGGGTATTGAATGCACGATGGGTTGATTGACGAATGACCGGATCCGTTTTGGACCAAGTACGGTCAGACTAGCCCTTACAAGTGAGAATGGGCAGACTTCAGTTCGTGCATTTTGGACACGTTATCCGGTGGGGCCAGTCCCTGGAGAAAGAAATCACGCTTGGAGCGTCAGTGAAGAAGATGGATGGACACAGGGGTTTGTGCAGAGCGGTTTCTGGTTCTGTTGTGCACCGGGTCACTGTGAGTCAGAACCGACTCCAGGGCCCCTACCAGCAGCAACGATATGACAGAGGAGGGGGGGGCAGTTCTGGCGGTGGGGGAAGGGGGGAGGGTCCTTTTCTTTGGACAAGTCCAGTCCAGGA